CCACCAAACTATCAGCCAGCTATCGATTAGATGATTGCTTGATGATATTTGGTTTATATTTTTGATTTTGACCAGTGATACTTATGATTTATATTTTTTAATTTTTAAAATATTTAAATAAATTTTTTTGGATTAAATAAATTTGCGCACTATGCATAGCTATGCATAAAATCATAGATCATGTATATAATCAACAAATAAATATGTGATTAACAAATATATATTAAATAAAATGACAGATTGAGTTATGATGTAGTATAATTTTATATAAATAAAAAAAGAAGTAAAATGATCTTCTTTTTGTAAGGCCAGTAAATAAAATAAAAATCAATATAACAAATATCAACACTTATTACACAGCATATAGCACTTCGAATCGTATATAGTACTTTGAATATATACAGCATTTTGAATCGTATACAGCATTTAGTATATAGCATTTTGAATCATACATAGCAATTAATACACAGCACTTAGTATACAGTACTTTGAATCATATATAGCAATTAATACACAGCACTTAGAACTATGTACCAATTTATTGCAGTAAAATGATCTTTTTTCTGTGAGACCAACGAATAAAATAAGAAATCAATATAATGAATACCAACACTTATTACACAGTATATAGCACTTAGAATTGTACATAGCACTTAGAACTATGTACCAGTTTATTAGCTTTTATCTAACTACATGGTACTTGTATTTGTCTTTAATGGTGTGTTACTTGAGTTATAACAAAAAAGACCTTGAAGCATTATTACTCTAGAAAGATTATTTTTAACCTTAACTGGATGGAGCATCATGTAAAAATTTACAGATTTGGTTTAAATATTAATTGTTTTAGACTTTATCTAACCCATATCTCTCTTTTAATTAAGCAATGCTTTTTTAATCAGAATGCTAATATGAAAATTAAAAAAACCTTAGAATCATTACAAAATGAGAACCCAGATATTGACTTTGATGAACGAAGATACCAAGTAAATTAATTACTTATCTAATTTACTGTCAAAAATTGTCTTTAAACTCACTCTATCACGTATATTTTCAAAAATTTAGGATGTTTCAAATTGTATTATAATAATGAAAGATAAGGAGACATCAAATGATTTTGAACCAGTATCACTACAGAAAGGTAACTCATTGTCTGATTTTGAAGAAGCTGAAAACCATGTACGTAAATTTGCTGAATTTAAAGGTTTTGCTACTAATTTACTATCAAAGATTGTCTTTAAACTCACTCTATCATATGATATTTTTAAATTTAGGATATTTCAATCGTATTATAATAATAGAAGATGAGAAGACATCAAATGATTTTGAACCAGTATCACTACAGAAAGGTGACTCATTTCTGATTTTGAAGAAGCTAAAAACCATGTGCATAAATTTGCTGAATATAAAGATTTTGGTATATGTTTAGGACATATAATGGCTATTAATAATGCAGAAGATGAAAGGATCATTTGCAAATATACAATTAACTATAAGCATTCAGGTGTATATAAGCCAAAAAATCCTGAAAAACTGGACACCTCCATTCAACAAATATAACAAATATGCAAATAGCATATGAATATCTCTTGCCCCAAAAATAGTTCTCACGTTATTGTAACAACTTTAAAAAATGAACATAATTATGAAATATCTTCTGAGGCTATGCAATTTAAGAAAAGTAGACAATTTACAAAGGAAATGCAACAAGAAGTTGAGTTTCTCATAACCAAATGCTGTTTGGAGGTACTGTAGTTAGAAATATCTTAAAAGAAAGTTTCCATTCTACCCAGTATTTTTCAAAGATCTTTATGCTGAAGTCCAAAGATATCGACCAACTGCAGATATGAATAAAGAAGATGCAGTGCACTTTTATGAACAATTGATTCTGAAAAAAACATGAAGATCTATATTGGTTTGTCAAAGTCACATGGGATAAGAAAACAAATATATTAACGGGATTGTTTTGGATAAGCCCTAAACAAGTTCTATTGTGGTGTGAATTTTGTGAAGTAATTGAACATGACAATATTGTGGGGACTAATAGGCACTAGTATTGTTAAATTAAATTTGAATGCCATTTAAATTTATTATTAAATTATATAGGCTTTTGCCTTGAAAATGACTTATAGGGTATAGTAATTACTATATCTTATTTTTAAGGCAGAGATATGTATATAACTTAGTCATTTTAAGGTTACTTGAAAATTATTTTAAGAGGTTATTTACAGTAATTTTTAATCTTTATATATTAACAGATATCATATATCACTTTCTTTATTTGTGGCTCAAGATGATAATATGAGATCTCATATTGTTGCTCAGGCATTTGTCAATGATGAGACAACTAAATCGTATAAGTGAGTTCTTTGTATGACCAAGAAAGCAACTCATAATCAAAAACCTATTATTATTATAACTGATAGTGATCCAGCCATAGAACAGGCAATAATTACAGAATATACAGGAACCTGGCATCTTATGTGCATTTGGCACATTAAAGAAAATATTAAGAAAATGCTATGTAGCAAGTTAGGTAACCAATTTGCAGAGTTTTATTCAGCACTTTGGCAATATCGTAATGCTGATATATCGCATATTTTTGAACATTATTGGAATGAACTTCTTGTTAAGTATCCTTTAGCAAACCATATTTAGAGCGTTAGCTCTATGAAAGATGCTTTTCATGGGTATGTGCATTTAGCGTACTGGAATTTATACTAGGCATCCAATCGATATCTTTTGTTAAGAGTCAGAATAATGTATCAAGCATGCTTTAGATAGTAATAATGTATCACTTTGTGAGATTGGTAAAATATTAATTGAACATAGTGAGGAGGAGCAAAAATATAAGCTTATTGAAGGATAGAATCATAATATTCCTAATATAGCTTCTGTTTTCACAGTTTTCCAACTATTGAATTGTTAATTAAAAAATATCAGAGGTCAAAACATTTCACAATTCTTAATTAAGCAAATGAAAAAAAGTGTTTACTATGTTGCTAGCCATACTACTATTCAAACTGAGTCTTTTAAAGTTCAGGTGCCATCAAAAGATGATGATTCTAATGATATACAAGATTCAGTTATTATGAATGCAAAATATATCTTAGAACTTTTAGATCAAAGTGC